CTACTCAACTATCTTTCATTCTCACTCTTATCTATGCATATCACAAAGAAACTTTTTATTATTTTTTAGCCAACATGAGAGTCAGTGAAGACCACTCTAGGATAAGTTCCTATGTCCAAAGACAATATATAGAAATAACCAAGGAAGATTTAGGAAACTATATGTATTTGAGAACCCAAGGGATTTGAGCCTACACATTAACCTCTAGTGTTGATTTTTACTAGATTGAAATTAATAAAGTTCTTAGAGGTGTCTCCCAAGTTAATCATTTTGCTCGAGTCTATACCTTGAACCAATATGCCCAAATCATCCAGCACATTTTAAGAACTTTGATTATTCCTAAAGCTGGTGATCGAGTAAATATGACTCCACTCTTACTACAATCACCTATCTTATTATGACTAAAAATCCCTTTGATAAAGCTCAACTTATTATAGATTACCTGTACAACATTTCTAAAATTGGACTTCCATACCATAAAAGGAAGAAAAACATTGCTTTAGGATATCTTGTTGCATACATTCTTCATAATAAGTATAATATCATTCATCTTGATCCTCCCACTGAACTACCAATTTACTTTACTTATGCTTCTTTCGATCACTGTTTGGGAGAAATCAGAGTTCTAGTGATGATTCTAAGAAAGAAGGGGGAGCTCCTACACCTGCACCTGGATCCGACCAAAATTACTTTCAGGAAATGGTGTAGCATTTTAATCATTTGGATACTTACTTTGATCAATGTTTTGATTAAATTGAGACTTATTTAAATCAGTAGGATGTGAGATACCAGGAGGATATGGGTTGGATCAATGGTTAGTTCGACTTAGTCAATACTAATGTAGCTATGAAGAATAGCTATTTTTTTATGTTCAACAGCCTCCACCCCCAGATCAGGGCCTCTCCGACTTCTACTTTATTGTTAGTCTTTCTACCGAGCTGTTGAGGTCGATGTTATGAGGTTTTACTTTCATGTTTTTAATTTTTATTTCTTGATATTATGTTTTTATGTGATGATGTTGTGTATGGTTCTATTTGATATCCGTTGAAAAGAATGTATTTGATCCTTATGATATCAATGGAAAATGTCATGTTTTGGAGACTTGTGTTTGTATCTTACTTATTGAAATGTTAGAAAGCCTAATATGATATATCTTTTGAAATTGATCTGGAATGAGCAAAATTATTTTTCTTTCCAAATTAATTTCCTTATAAAAATCTAGTCTTTCAAAATTTAAATTAAATTCAAACAAGATTTAGATAAGGAGATCAATTTCATGTTCTTTTAGACAAACATATCTAATATATAATTTTTGTAAGATTGATGTCTTATTACTATTTTTATTTCTTTTTTAATATGATTATTTTTATTATTTGTGAAATTTGAATTTAGATTACTGCCATTGGAAAGTCCCAAAAATTAAAATTAAAAGAAATGCAAAATGTGTGCAAAAATCAAAAGAATGCGCAATGGTTTGCAAAGTAAAAAGAGGCTCAAAATTAGCCCAAATAGAAAAGATGCACAAAGTGTGCCCCAAATATTTGAAAGATGCGCAATGTCGCCAATTAAAAGTTTTTATTATGTTCTTTCCACTATCTTTTAATCTCTAATTCAAATCAATCTAATTAACAATCATATTCTATATTGAATTTGAATTTAACTAATCTTCATTTCGTCATTTTTGTAATAATCATCTTTATTTAATTTGTCTAAGTTGAATAATAACTTTGATTGACTTTTTTTCTCTGCATTATTTTTTATTTAAAATTTTGAATTTTTCCTTTTTAGTATTGTAAAATTAATTTTGTATTTGCAATTGGTTTAAAATCAAATTTCTAGATTAAATCTTTTAGTTTATCTATTGAACCATTCATTTCAAGTTCTACTTCCCTTTTTGTTATTGCCAAAAGCGGGAGTAATAATGTTGTTTGATTGATTTATGTTTGAAATAATATTGATTGATTGATTGATGTTTACAGTAATATTGTTTGCATATTTGAGGTTTCCATAAATGTATGTGTGTGAGAATATTTGAATGATCTTTGTGTGTGGGTTTTGTGTTCTTTTTTTTTTTTTTTTTTTTTTTTTTTTTTTTTTTTTTTTTTTTTTTTTTTGATTTTGTGTTTTTTATTTTTTTTGGGTTTAGGATTTTTTATCTTCATGGGACTCCCTAGATTTATATTGGTCATTCATTTAGGGAGAGCTAAGGAGAAATTTTTTCTTTAACATGTTAACTCATATAATAATTGTTTTGACATCATCAAAAATGGGGAGATTGTGTTTTTTTAAGCAAAAGCCGGAGCTTACTATATAATCAAGCAAATTAAAGAGCAACTATAAGGATGATTCCTCCTTCAAAGTATTGAAAAATGAAGGAGGAACCTTATTCAAAGAAAATTCATCCCAACTAAAACTACTGAATAATGAATAGTTAGCAGATAAGTTTGTTAACTTATTATTTCCTCAACCTATACAATTGAAAATGAAAAAATTAAAATGCATAAGAAAATCTATACCCACTTCCTTGTACTTTCCTTTTATCCAAGTTCTTTGTAGGTAAGAAATGATGTTTGAGTTGTCCCCTTCTATAATGATGCCTTTATATTTGAACATCCAATCCTTGATTTCCTCCTTTATGGAATGTATTGCTAGAAACTCTAGATGATCTATGTCCCAATGTACACAAGGTCTTCCATAAGAATATAGAAATCTCCCTTTGCAGTCCCAAAAAATTGCTGAAATTCCCGCTTTATAGGAAGAAAGTAGAGATGCATCTACATTCACCTTTAGCCATTTGGGTGGAGGAGGATGCCAAGCATTGGATAGTCTGAATGACTGGTTGACATCCCAATTGCCCAAATTAATGTGACTAAAGCTGTGAGAAACCGAAGCCTGGCATATAGCATTAGAAGTTATCAAACTAAGACTTTCTTCCACACCTTCATGTATGAACGTGTTTTTTCTTTTCCATGATAGGAAAATTGTATTCCAATATAGGTTAACAACCATACCTTTCTTCTTCGAATTAGTTTCCAGCCATTTAATACAATGTTCTAACATAACAAACTACAGAATACCAAAACCCCATTAATTTAGATGGAAGATTACCTCTTTGAACTTCAAGCATCCACACATGATATGTACAACATCTTCAATTGAATTGCATCCCCTCAGACAATTGGCATTCTCTAATAATCTTCTATAGCATAAGAATTGAAGAGATGGGATAGCATTTCTACATAATGTCCACCAAAACACTTCCACTCGAGCATTCAACTTAGTATTTTTTGATCCAGTCCCAATACTAAGAATCACAAGTATCATTAACTAAAGCTTTAAAGGTTAATCCAGAAATAGACATTCCAAAATTTTGATGAATCAGCTCCATACGATCCTCTTCCCCATCTTGTATAATTCTAATTTGTATAGTCAAAATAACTAGCTCCCTCCCAAATGTTTCCATCAGCAGTGATTCATTCCAACAGCCATCCAGAATGAATTTTTTGACAAAAATAGTTTCGCCCTCATGTGGCACAACAAACGTAGGCCACATATCTATGCTTTTATCCAATATCCAGTTATCTTTAAATGCATCCACTGAATCTCCATTCACTAAAGACCATCTCATAATGGGCTTCAGCATTTTGTATCATTAAGTCAACAATTTATGAGAGGACGAGCTACTTCCTCTACCACATCCTTTTTCCAACCTAGCTCCATATTTAGACACCATTAACTTGTTTAAAAGTGATTCTGTCGTGAATAAATCTCCATGCCAAACAGGCTCTCAAAGTAGGTGTCTTTGTGCTATTTGAATGCAACCCATGGCCTTGACAATAGGATTCAAGTAGAACGTCCGGTTTTGAATTCTAGAGAGAGAAAGTTCTTCCTGGTTTTGAAATCAGATTTTGCGGGTTTTTCCGCGATCGATGGTGACTGCGCCGGTGGATCATCGGCATCTTTAGCCGGTATCCATGATTGTTCCACGGTCATCTAGTTCTCTTCGGTCCAGCGATAGGAAATCTAATGGAATAGTGATTCGGGAAGGAGGTAAGCCATTGAGCCGTCAAGAAACTGTTGAAGGTAAAGGAAAGAACGTGATAATGGATGAATTGGATGCACGAGTGGAGACGATTGTTGAAGATCTACCTGGTTTGATGAATGTTGAGTCTTCGGCTTCTCAAAATTTGGTTTTACGGGTGAGAAATTTCTCCGTGGTTCTTGATGCACAAAAAGTGCGTAATTTGGGTGATGGAGATGCTTCTTTGGAAACCCGAAAGGATGATATTGTGAAAAATATGGGAGAAGTTGCTGAGGCTTGGTCGAAACCGAAGCCAATCAAGATTGCATTTGATAGAGATTTGATGCAGTTCTCTGAGGACGGTGTGGCTGTAAAATTGAACGTGGAAAGGGAAGCTGAGAATGTTAGAGTATTGAAGAACTCGATTGTACTCAAAGTTCTGGGGAATGGAGTTCCATTCTCAGTTTGCAGTTCGGAGCTAAGAAGATAATGGAGCCAATATGGTAAATTTCATTTGACCTCAATTGGATTGGATTGGATACTCTGTTCGTTCAATTCGTGTGAGGTGGTTGATGAAGTTTTAAACGGGGGCCCATCGTATGTTAATGGATTAATTGTTGGTATGGATAGGTGCACTCCTGCTTTTGATCCAAACTCGTTCAAAGGTATATCGGCACCGGTGTGGATCCGTTTATCTTGCCTACCTCTATATTGCTGGGATGAAGATAGCATAGCTAGAATTGCTTCTTGCTTTGGATCTCCTATGTACGTTGATGGAAATACATTTCGATGGAGTAAATGAGAATTTGCTCGTGTTTGTGTGAGAATTGATTTAGAGAAGAAACTTTTGAATGTTACGTGGGTTGAAGGTTCGGCTGGGAGATTCTTCGAAAGGGTGGAATATGAAAAAATTGATCTTATGTGCTACCAATGCGGAAGGGTAGGACATGATAAGAAGACTTGTCCGGAAAATGTCAAGATGGTGATTAAAGATCAATCATTGAAGAGCATGGGATCAGATAATGGGCAGGAAAATTTGGTGAGACATGACAATGAGCATTCGGTGGTGAGTACTGAATATGTTCCATGGATTCATGTCCAATTCAAGAATAGAAGAGGTAGAAGAAACATTGCAGTAAATAATTATGAGCAGGATATTGGAAGGAAGACAGAACGGAGAATTTCTGTTGGTCAGAAGGATGTTCGGCTTGAAGAAGTCCAGGAGAAAGTTCAGGATGAATGTAACGGTAACAAGGCAGATGAAGTCTCTAGAAAAGTTGCTGTAACTGGTATGTTTGAACAATCAATGAACCAGTTTGCTGTTTTGGTTGAGGAGAATGAGGAAGGAATTCTGGTTAAAGCTGTTAGTAATGACAAAGTGGTTGACAAAGGCTCGGAACTAATGGAACCAAAGGTAAACTTTGATATGAATTATGGTAGTGAAGATGTCAAGGTTAAATTAGCCAAAGAATTGAAGTCATTGGGACCTGTGAATAGTGAGAAGAAGAAGAGGAATGGAAGGTTGAACCCCAATAGTGGGGGAAGATCTTCTATACCTTGTTAATTATGTCTGCAATTCTTTTATGGAATTGTAGGGGAGCGAGGAAGAAAGCGGATTCCCTGTATCTTAAGGAAATGGTTAGATATGAGAATGATTTCTTTATTGGGCTTATGGAGACAAAGCTGTCTAGCATTGGTAGAATGGAGGTGGATTGCCTTTTGGGAAATGAGTGGGATTACTTTCACCAACCTGTTGTTGGGACATCTGGTGGTATTCTGGTTTTGTGGAACATAAATTTGGTGTCTTTTGAGGTTTGTGAAGCCTCTTCTCAGGTGATCATTGGTAATCTTTCGATTCCTAGCTTAGGAATGTGGAAGATTGCTACGGTTTATGGAAACCGTTGCAACAAGGAGAGAAGTGATCTTTGGAATCAATTGGAGAGGAGCATGGAGAATTCTAATCCTTCCATCATTGGGGGAGACTTTAATTGTATTCTAAACAAAGATGAGAAGAGAGGTGGTAAGAGGTTCCTATTTTCCAAGGGACCGAGAGAAATGAAGAGCTTCATGTTAAATTCAGATTTCCATGACATTGGATTTGTTGGGCCAAGTTACACATGGTGTAACAACAAAGAAGGTAATTCTCGGATATGGGAAAGGTTAGACAGATGTATTTTGAACTCTTTGGCTATGCAGAAGCTTCCTTTGGTAGTGAACAGGCATTTGGCGAGGATGGCGTCTGAACACTGTCCAATTGTGCTCAAGATGGATGACAAAATATGAATTAAGCCGAGAACAATCAAGTTTGAAGATACATGGAGATCTTATCCGGCGGCTAAAAGCATAGTTCATCATTCCTGGAAGAAGCATGACGAAGGTAATGAGTATGAAGTATTACGGAAGAAGCTTAATTGTACTTTAAAATCCTTGTTTTTCTGGAGTAGAAATAAATGCAAGGATTTGAATGCTTTAAAGGATAAATTGAAGAAAGAGATCCATGAGTTGCAAAACGAAGAAGCTTTGAGTAGTAATTGGTCTGCTGATGACCTGGTTGAACTTAGAAATAAGGTTCATCAACTCAATATCACTATGAGAAGACTTCAACTTGGTGGAATTAAAGGGCTAAGGCTAGGTGGCATGAGGAAGGCAATACAAATTCTAAGCTTTTTCATAATTTTGCGACAGCCAGAAGGAATGGGAATCGTATTTTCCAAGTCAAAGATGAAGAAAATAAGGTGCAAGTGGATGAGGATCAAATTGAGAAACTTCACCAAATTCTTTGAGAAGAAGTGGGAATATAGGGAATGTGAAATCACGGGTTGGCCTTATATTATGGAAAATCAGAAGTTGAATGCCGAAGACATGGAGTTGTTAAATGCTGAGTTTACTAAAAACGAGCTACAAATTGCGGTGTTCCAGCAAGGGAACAATAAGTTGCATGGTGCGGATGGCATTACCTCTTCCTTCTACAAAAGCTATTGGAATATTATATGGGAAACTCTTTGGAATGCAGTTAGGAATTTTTTTAATTCCAGACATTTGAATAAGGTGTTGAGTCTTGTAATTAGGTTGTTAAACCTAAGTGAATGTCCCAAGGCTACCAAGAGGGGGGGTGAATTGGTACTTTAAAAATTTAAGTCCCCTTTTGAAAATTAAGTTGAACCTAAATAAAAATTTCTTTTGAGTTTTTCTAGAAAAATATTTTTCAACCACCGATTTTTAAAACTAAAATTTAAAGTGCGAAAACGTAAA